GCTGGACCGAGCCTTTTCTTAGTACATGGATGTGTTCAGCCAGTTTCAGTCTGCTCTTGTGTGATACAAGGAACTCCACCATATCTTTCTTCCAAAGGATGAGATCCCACATGCTGAGCACAGGAACGTGCACAAAAGAGCAGGAAGGCACATGTGCAGCCAAGTACTCCTCTTGGACAGGTATGAACACCCCCTTGACTCTGCAGGTTCTTCCTGGTGTTTGCAGAGCAGGAGAAGGTCACGCCATAATACCAAGTAACCTAGAGCACCACAAACACTGAGATGGCGAATGGAAAGTTACTGCAAGAGCTTGTACCATGTAGGTGTCGGCAGACCTTACGAGGCTCTATAGCAGCTGCAGCAGGCAGGCCCTCGACAGTGTTGATTGGCAGGGAGGGAACACTTAGACTTTAGGATCCTGATGGGCCTGGATTTTATTGCTTGGCTTTGTGTCAGCTGCTTCACATCAAGTACTACTCACTGCCCTTAGTAAGACGTGGCTTTGACGCTGGACACCTGATAACCTCTGGTCTAAACTGCCTCTGCTGTAAAGCTGAGCTTCTCTACTAATAGGGACAGCACAGGAAAATCTTTGCTTTCTCTGAAACTAAGGAACATAGGAAAACCCTGTAAAAATAAGGAGAGAAAAATTCCACTTTTAAAATACAAAGGCAAATAATGTATACTTCCAATACTTCTATCTTCTTCTAAATCATTATTACAGTGCAGATGCAGAGTAACAAATCTGATGGCTCATGAGGACAGTATGATCAAACGAACTTACAGCCCTGTTAGAATTGTTTGAAAAGTTGCTGTGCTTTTATGTTCCAAAAAGGTAACTATGTTGCTTCTGGTGTTTTGCAGTGGAAAAATACATGGATTGTGCAGACTCCTCCTTGGTGATAGTAAAAGAATACAGTGTATTTGGAGTGAAGGGACAGAAAATGTCCACCTTTGGCAGTGGTAGAGGTGTTTAAAATGCTTTATTAGGACTGAATTTTACAGGATATAGCTTCCTCTTCAGGTATTTATTAAAGAAAATTAGCCTACTCATCAGATGCTCTGCTCGTCAATAGAATAGCCTTTGAAAGATCCTTATAATACTGGATGATCCTTTGTCTTATATATGAACATTTTCTTCTGTTTTAAATAATGGACTAATGCTAACATCCTGCACAGTTTACTGGAAGAGTGGACCACTCCATTCAGTATCAGTATATAAGTAAATGGTCCACTGGAATAAAGGCTGCACCATTTTTAAAAGCAGCATTTTCAAATTCTGTTCATAAGACTGATATATGGAATGTAGAGTGTGTTCCAGTGAGGAAGTGTATTGTGTTTTGGTTAGAAAATGTATCCTGTATGTATATTTTCTTAGCACTCTGTGCCAAGCCAAACTCCCCAGACACCTGAGTACTACAACACTCTATGAGTTAACACTCAACTAGTACCACAGAAAAATGTGCCAGAGCTATTTAATCACTAGACAGAGGGAAAAAAATCACTGTCATGACCTACTGACCAGACATTTCTTGGCAATTGCTAATCAACGGTGTTAGCCTTTTATTGTCTCTTCTGCCGTTGTCTTCCAGGAAAGGTCTGAGCAAGAGGTCAGTGTAGCTTAAGTAGGTATTGGTTCATTTGTTATCTTTCATACAGTATGCTGCAGTCAACAGTCTGCTCTCCTCGGAAGGTGAGAGACTTCAGCTTAATTCGACTTGTTTATTTACTGTAGAATTTCGCTATCAAACCCAAAAGATAAAGATAATTCCTGGTGGGAACATTTCTGAGAATAATTTTTAGTGCTTTCTATGTGCATTAATTTTTAAAATATCTGTATTTGACAAATTGTGAACTAATTCTTTATTGACAGTCTACAGAAGAAAAACATCAGAAAAGTGACCTTTCTGAAAAGGTCTTCTGAAAAGTTCAGATTATCATGCATTTAAGACTGTCTGTGTTCTGGTAAGTACTGTATTCTATGCTTACCTTTGAACAGACAATTGGATTTGCATTCCTTTCCTGAAAAAGTCTATTTCCTGGGTTGGAGACCCAGGGAAAAAAATATTTCTTCCTAGAAAAAGATGAGGAAGAAAGGGGGAAATGATAGGGAAAAGTCACCTAGCACATAACCTCCTGTCATGCAAATCAATTGTATAGAGAGGAGGCAGTGGTAATGCGTGTTTCTAGCTTCAAGTGACCACACCTGAAATTCTGCATTTTTGAAGAATTTGAAAGACAGTGCTCTCTTTGATCAAAATTTAATTTGAAAGACAGTGCTCTCTTTGATCAAAAATTGTTAATTATTCAGCTTTGTCTGCCCATACTGCATTAACAAAACACTGCTGAATAGCAAAACCAGAAAGCTGATTACTTCCTTTCTGGGAATGAAAATGTCTAGCCTAAGGCATGGAGGGATGTCTCTCCCTTTCTCTCTTCCTGTAATACTGGAAACATTTGAAATTTGTTCAAGTCTCTATGGGAAGCCGACACAGACTGCTCCTGTATCTTTGTCTCCAGCATGGAACCACAGCTGGCAAACAAATAGGTGCCACTATAGCTGTTATATGATTGCCATTAGGCAACCCAGGACTCTCCTGGTCCCTGGACAGGCAGCGTAGCTCAAGAGGTGAGAGAGATTCATTCCGCCTCTCTGAAAGCCAATAATAGCAATGAGGATCCCCTTCTATTCAGGAAAAAATGGAGTTGCAGCATGTGACCGCCCCTTTGAGGCATCCCAGCGGATAGCGAAGAGCTTGGCTTTCCTACCAACTCAAGAGGGCTAGAGTGGCAATGGACTTACAAGCATTTGACCTCACTGGGATTTCCTTGCTGTGCCATTTGGTCTTCTCTTCCTCTCACACACTACCCACTATCCCACTACCTACACTACCCCACTTCTCTTCCTCTCACACATTACTACTTCCTGAGCAGTGTGATAAACTAAAGATCATTAATCTCTGCCAGAGTGGTTACTTTGGGCTCTCACTTTGTGAAGACAAACCTTATTCTCATCATGTCTACACTGACAGGGTTAACACAGAGGTTATTTGCTGCCAGCCAGAGCTGTATGAATTAGTTTTTCCTTTTCCTCTGTGCAGTCTGCACCAAAACCATCTGCTCTGCACCCTTTGATAGTGGCTTAAGGTCTGCATTGAAGCTAGAATGTTTCTAGGAACTGACTTATGAACGACTTGCCTCTTGTGTGGGGCCACAGGGAGAGGTACGAAAGGGCTGGAGTCAAAACAGAGCATTTGGGGGTTGCGACTGGTGGAATTGCAGGGCAGAGAAGCTTCAGGGCTCTGGAGAGCAGAGCAGTTCAGGCAGTGACCTCGTGGAGCAAATACCAGTCTGCCACATCGTAGGAGGGACTCTGAACTTTTCAGTGAGGCTGGACTGAGCAGAACTGGTCAGGTGCAAAGACAGTGTATGCCAGAATTGATTTTCCCTTTAATAGAGCTTGCTTCTGTCATGCAATATTTTTTCCGTCTACCGTCAGGGACTAGGTTGCCTGATAGGCCAAAGCACATGAGCTTTTTACTCTCATGGATTTCAGCAAGAAGTTAGACGTTTACATCACTTGTTGAATTTGAGCTTTATACCCTGACATTTGGAGTAGATGTTTAAAAATAAAATACCATTTTATTTGTGTGCAAAATTTCCCTCTTCCCTGTGTTGCATCAGAGCAGCTATTGTTGGCTGTGTGTTTTTCTTTCTGGGACTGTCTGTGACAGCCACCAGCCATCCTTCTATTTACAGTCATTACTGCAAGGAAATTGGAAACTGCAGCTACTGGGACATGATTATCTTCTCTTTCATGTCAGATTTGTCTTTTGCTGTGACACAGCACAAGAAATGTTTGTACAGCTATTAAAACATTTATCTAGAGATAAACAGCAATGCCATGTCCTGGCTGAATGAGCTGCTGTTGTAGATCTAATGTAGGACTGGTTTACTAGCAATGGTGATACAGAAGGGGTGACAAAAGGGGACTTCCTGCCCCCTCCTGCCCATGGTAATGCCCACAGTCCCTCCGTAATCAGAAGTGAGGAAGCCTCCAGAGTAATAGGATCAAGATTTAGATAAGAATCTTGAAGCAAGAAAAGGTTGGCATCTTTATCTCTAGGAAAGGATAGTCTTGTGAAATGTTTAGTCAAAGGCTTATAGCACTTGCCAAGGCTCTTGACTGAACAGCAGTCTGGTTAGATTTCCTTCTTCAGGTCTTTGATCAAAGTGATGAAATAATGCATGATAACTCAAGACTGTGCAATCCTTGTTTTACGAAAATAACAATACAGAACTGCATTTTTATTGCGAAGGAATACGAAGAGTTAGATGAAAGACACATAAATCTGCCAGTGCAATGAACAGTTTTGAACAGTGTGTGCTGTAGCCCTGTCTGTCCCACAGGGCTTATTGTTTTATTGTACTTTTTTAGCTTGTTGAATTCACAAAACCCACAAACTTACAACGTAGAAAATATGTGAAAAACAAAGAACCAAAACCTCTCATTTGCCAAAACTGCCTTTTATTTTGAGCTCATCGTTTTAATCTTAAAAAGATATTTCTGGTGGCACACAGCCTCAGAATCAGCACCTTTGCATTTACAAACTGCAGAGAATCCCCGTCAATTTATATTACCGTAGTTCAGACTCTTAAATCACACAGAAAATCTTACACTTTGTTCCTGTTTTATGTGAAAAGCTTAACAGCACATTGCTGCAACAAGATTGCATGTTATGAGGATTCCATTCACAAAACAGCTTTACAGCACATTAAATATTAATTTAGTAATTTCATCATAAATGAAAACTATAATGAAAATGCCTGTATAAATAAACAGTGCAGCTTTTGTGATGTGCTACCCTTTCTTATTTTTTGTTCATTTAGACTCCCGTTCACAAGACCATCATTAGTGCAAATAAATGAGATTTTACTGTACAATTATGTTGTAACAAGCTCTTAGATACATTTCAACTGATTGAGACCAGTGTAATGAGTTAATTTTCAGTGTCTGGTTTGGTGAGAGATTTCACAAGCTCTTCTGCAGGATTAGATTTCTTCTGGCTTGGGATAGCAGGTAGGGCACGGCTTGGTTTCAGAGGTTCTCCTGATAGACCAGGCAAGAGAGAATAGAGGAAATGACTCTGAGAAAATCCCCTTTTCTGAGATCTGGAAGTTGAGGCTGGTGGGAGAATAACTGCACCAGTCCTTAGGGAATTTAAAGGCAGAGACTTAAACTTCTTAGCACCCTGAGATGGTAGCTGAACTAGAGGAAAAAGAAAAAGAGACCAAGAGTGCACAGAAAGTGAAAAGCATGGCATTTTTACAATGAGTTTGCTACTTTCATTGAACTGTTGTTTACTTGTCCATATGTGCTCTGCGAGTCACAGGCCACAGAAGTAGCCCATTACCAGGTAGTACACTAAGACCCACACTGAAACATGAGAGCCACAGCTGTTGTATGTCTCATGTGTGTCAGAAGTCTTGCAAGAAACTGTGGATTTACATAATTGTTAATCTCCACCTCACGCTCGGCAGTGTAACGTTGTGCTTAAAGTTAATGTAGTTCAATATCTTCTCTAAACAGAAATCCTCAAGCTCCTTCACTCAGGCAACTCACTAACTAATTTCATAATTTTTTAAAAGGAGAATTCAAAACCTTAATTGTAGACTTATTTTTCTCTGCTTTGGAATTTTTTTGTGAATTGCGTTAGCTTCTTTCCATTTAATTCTTCATTTTATTCACAATCTCTTTGTATACAGTTTAGGTTTTTCAGTTTAACCATATGAAGACCTCCCTACTGGACTTAACACTGTCTCTATTTTGACTACAGAATCTTCCTTGAAATTTTTCACATTAATTTTTCCTTGATTACATACTCATTCCATCTGTGATTTCCTTCAATCTGTATCTGTTGTGATGAATATGAGACGCTACGGACGTTTTCCTCTGAGATATTCTAGTTTGAGTTTCATCTTATTAGTCATGGCAGCCTCTGGAGGGTTATTTGGATGCTCTGTCTATTTTGCTGGCTTCATCCTTTGAAACTAATCACAAACGCTTCCTAGTGGACAGGAATTAAAAATCATTCTCTAAGCCAATCACTTTTCCTCAGATTGGTATTATGTTTTTGTCCTGGTTCTTTATATGCAGAAAGAATCCTGCTGTAAAGCACTCTGCTCAAAAGACGACCATCTCAGCCTGTCGTTATCATTCAATTTCCTAGTCAACTCCAATGAAAACCTGAGTGTTTATGTTTGCATTTTTCTTGTTAGCCTCTTTGGTTACTCCCTTTTCATAATCTCTGACAAATATTCCTGGTGCAGGTTCAGGGAAATTCTACAGAAATGAGAATGGAGAAGAGTATTTTCTCTTAAACCAATGAAAATCTCACGTAATCCCAGAGAAATATCTGAAGTTAATCTAGATTTGGACCATTGTAATAGAGGATACATTGATAAATGAACTAATTTTTATTAGAAATAGCAGACCACATAGTCAATTGGTATGAACTGAGTAACTGCTGCAGTCAATGCACCTGTGATAAGCTGGACCTTATGAGTCAATTTTGATCTTAAAAATAACCCCAAACCAAACTAAACATTCAACACTCTCGAGGAACTCGTAGGTAGAATAGTGGATCAAGTTTCTTGAAGCCTGTAGAATAAAAAGACGAGAAAAAAGGACTTGCAGAATTTCAAGTCAGTTAATCTAACATAAAAAATCCTAAATGCCTAAAAACCTGCCTACCGTTGGTGTTTCTCAGAAGTGAATCTTTGAAACTTTAAAGTCTACCTTCTCACTGCTCATCAAACAACATCAAAAAGAATAACTGCAATACTGGCAGGGTGGAGGCCAGAGAAAAGAGAAATTACGTAGTTTCAATAAGGAAGGATTATTAACTTTGTCACAAATTTTCATAAAAAATAAGGTAGATCCATTACTATAACATGGACATACACCTGATGAAAAAAAGGCACTCAAAGTATAATTTGCCAGAGAACAGGTTTAAAATGCAAAAATACCTTGATAAATTGGAGAAACAGTAAGAAGTTTGAATAACGAAACTCAGCGAAGGCAAACACAAACCCCTATACTAAGGGAAAACAAACAAACGAAGAAATCCCAGACTAGCAAAAGTCCAAATGTGAGATGGGGAATAACTAGCTAGAGGAGTAAGAGTCCTGCAGGTAACTGGGGACACAGACTGTGCCCGAGCCAGAAATAAATTGAAGAAGTTCGGGCAGAAGCCCTACACCTTCCGTGCCTCAGCAAAGCAGAAGCACACCAGGCTTGTCACGCAGGCCCCTCTGTGTCTATAGATTTATGTAGTGTATAATTAATAAGTCAGACATTTGCCCTGTTGGAAACAAATGTTAGCTCTCTAATGTCTGCAGTGGGCACTGAAAAAGCTTTGCATCTATGTGTTTTTTTAATGTGTACATTGTGCAAAAGAGGCTGAAGTTCTCCTTGCCGTATTCGCCTGTACCATATGCCATATACTCATTTCATCATTCATTATTTATTTATCAGGAACAGTAATTCTCTAAGACTCACCAGGTATCTATTTGGGGGAAACCATGTTTTTTATAGAGAGGATTTAAAAAATTGATGGATTTTTTTTTTTTTTCTTCTTATGCTAATTTCAGTACAATCCAAGCTGTGACAGGCTGAGCAGGGCAGTGTTTACTAAAACTGCCTGGCCTCTGAAATGTTGTGCAATTCATAGGTCATATTCAAGGTTCATTCATGCTCAGAGGTTCAGGAAATGACTTAGTTCTCCTTCCCAAGGAAAAAAAAAGCAACAAACTATTAATACTTTGCTTTAGTTCATATTGAATTTATGTGAATCAGGCGGGGCTAAATACAATAAATGATCCCATTTGTTTTCTGGCACATGGTAGAAGGCTTTGAGTTCATTAAAATTTTGGTGTGTAAACCAAATACATATTGAGAAGCTCACTTGTTTTCCTTTGTGAAGCATAGGCATATGTTCATGCATTCAAAGTTTACACCTGTGTAAAATGTCTCCAGAATGCCTTTATGTACTAGGTAAGCCCTTGATGACGGGTTTAAGTAGAGCAAAAGCAGTGTAGTTCTTCACCTCCATGACTGGGTAGCCATCACAAACCCATGCTCATTCAAAGAAATAAAAAAGAGCATCCAAATGTCAATGCTTTACACCTAGTCCTACATACTGTACTCAGGATTTTCAATAAGGATTTCAGGACTGGTACGTGGATGGCTTTGAAATAATAGATATAATCACTGGTATTAGTATATATATTGAAACACACAAGCCTGGATCCAGCACTGGGGTCTGTGAGAGACAGAACCCTTAAGGCTGGTTGTCATACATCCGGAAGCTGTGTACAGCAAAAGCACCAGTAAAAATTCATGGGCAGAGTCAGCTACTGAAACCTAGTGATACAGTAAGAGCTACTAATTCAGGGAGTCCTTTCCACTCAGCAGTGACTCTCGAATGACTGCTATTGCAAACTGCAGAGGCAAGAATAAGGCTCTCAGGGAGGCACTGCCCAAGAAGTATCTACTTCAGCAGAAGGGTTGGCTCTTAGACAAATTTGCAAGCAGTGGACAGGGGTGGCCCTCTACAGAGAGGAGGGTGCTTTGTGGAATCCTTTGCTATTAACTTGGGAAAGAAGAAACTTCAAATCATAATGAATAACAGCAAAACCAACCACTGATCCCCAGCAAATATTGTTAAATCACCTAATCACCTACAGAAATAGATAATTTTTTTTTTTTTTCCTTTTTTTTTTGATCAACAAGTAATAACCTCACTATGGCTTTGGACCTTCTAAGCCACATGAAGAAGTGAGAGCAGCAAAGACTTCTATAGAAGTCCCATATCATTCAGGAAATTATTCTGGCATTGTGTGAGTGATGTATGATAGTTGTAAGCCTGTTTTCCAGGGATCCTTGAGAGAGGCACGTGATGACATAGAAAGTGTGTACTGGGGCTGGAGCAGCAGTATGCAGAATACCAGAGATGCCAGACTGTGCTGAGGCTACTCAAGAAGCTGTGCAAGCAACCTCTTTGGCCCTGGCAACATCTGGAGGGTGGGAGTTTATAAACTATGGTT